TTTTGTCTCTAAGATGTGTCATTTGTAGACAGCAAATTGAGAGGTTATGTTTTCTTATCCAGTCTGCAACTCTCTGTCTCTTGAGTGGTGCATTTAAACCATTTACATTCAGTGTACTTATCGATAAGTATGAATTTGTCGTTGTCATTTTGTTATTTTTTTTATGGTTTCCCTGGTTTCTTTGTTCCATATTGCTTTCTGTGCTGAGCTCATTATGTTTATGATTTGTGTTATCATTTCCTTTGTTGCTGTTGTTTTAGTATTTGCTGAATAGTTGTGCTTGTCCTCTTTTCTATTGTGGTGTGAAGGTTTATCATACTTCGTTGGGGTTACGTAGTGATTCATAATTTTCTTCCCAAGTTTAGAACAGTCCATTCTATCTTGCAATTGTCTCGACTTTCTCACCATTTAAAAGTTCTGCAACTACATTATTTACTCCCTCTTTTTGTTTTATAGTTGTCCTCACTTGCCAATTGATGTCTCTGGTTCCTTGTTTACAATCTTGTAAACTTATTTTACTTTGGATACTTCCATAACATAACCTGGTTGGTTTCTGGGTTATGTGTGTTAATGGTTGGTTGTTGTTTGCTGTTGTTAGTTCTCTGTTCAAAGGACTCCCTTTAGCATCTCTTGCAAGGTTTGTCTGGTCTTTAAAAATTCCCTTAATTCCTGCTTATCTGGTAATGTCCTAATTTCACCACCATATTTGAGGGACAATTTTGCTGGGTATTTAATTATTGGTTGGAAATATTTTTTTTTTTTTTCTTTTAGGGATTTATATATACCACCCCATGGCTTTGCCTGAATGGTTTCTGCTGAGAAATCAGAGCTTAGTCTTATTGGTTGCCCTTTGTAGGTAACTTTTCATTTTTCTTGTGCTGTTTTTAAGAATTTTTCTTCATGTTGGTTTTGGAGAGTTTGGTAATGATATATCTTGGTAATTTTCTTTTATGATCTATCCTCTTTGAGGTTCATTGGACCTCTTGAATGGATACATTCTCATCTGATCATACCAGGTGTGGTAGTTATGTTTGTGTGTCAACTTGGCTGGGCCTGGTTGAGTGGCTGGGCAGCTGGTGGTAGTTAATTCCCATGATGAGACTGGCAATCAACTCCATGGTGGGATCTACCACAAGCAGCTGAGTAGCTGCCTTTGGGATGTGGTCTGCTTCCTGTATATAA